CCTCTGCTAAGAAGGGGCCACTCAGGGCATTTGGGTCAAGTCTCTGTTCTTGGGTGAATGGTGAGGACACTGGCCATGGCCTCAGAACAAGTCTGAAGCCTGGATCTCATCACCTGCCCTGCGGTCCCCCAAATGACAATCCTGAGAAAGGCTGAGGCCTCCACAGCAGGGCAGTGGGAGAGGCCTCCCCTGCACCAAGCATCCACCAAGCCCCATCTCGCCTCTTGTTTACCTCCAGGGGTGTCCTACCTTTTAGCATCCCTGGGCCGCACATTAAATACATTGCCAACACATAATCACCAAAAAATCTCCTAATGTTTTAAGTAAATTTACAACTTTGTGTTGGGCTGAATTCATAGCCATCCTGGGCTTCATGCAGCCTGCCCACGGACTGCAGGTTGGATGCCCCTGGAAACCAAAGCTCCAAGAAAAGCACCTTGCCCAAGCACAAGTGAGATGTGGAGGGGGCCGCACAACCTGGTTTCTCTGGTGCCCCTGCAGCACAATGCACTGCCCAGGGGCCCATCCCGGGTCAAGAGCTCCCATGAGGCTCCTGAAGAGAATGAGTGCTGTGTTGGACCTTGAGGGATGTGCTGCCGGAAAACGGGTGGGCAGTGATGGTGGCCCAAAGGCATTTCTCACCACTGCATTTCCACATCGCCTTCCGAAGGTTTCCCCTACTCCCCTCCTAACCACACTGGACCTGAACAGGAGAGTCAGTGGGTGGCAGAACTGCCCTGGGCCCCACGCTGGCTTTCTTGAGGACAGATCCTATGGTGCCCATGGCAGATGTGATCCAAGTCTGGCAGCACCCCTTCCCCAATCCATTCTTTTCTAGGAAAATGGGATTATGCCCACACCGGTCTGGGAGGTTCTACCCACAATCCTTTGCAACTAGTTAGTGGGTAACAGCTAGACACCTACATCCTTTCCTTCCAGTCCTGCAATTTTGTTTATAGTCCTGGCCTGACTTCATCTAAGGGTGGGACTTGGTTATCCTGGTTCTGAGAGAGCCCTTATCTTCATAAGCCAGGAGATCCCAAAGCAGATAAAAAGGCTGATCAACCCCAAATCCGTACCCTGGTTCAAAATGTGGAACTCAGCCCAGGGCTCTTCACACTCCTTTCCCTATCCCACTACCCCCATCAAGAAATCTCCTCAGGGGTGAGGAGAAGGGGTGACAGAAGAATCCCATGAGTGACAGCGAGGTGCTCCCTCATAGACAACTGAGCAGGTGAGGCCAAAACATTAGTCAAACGTGCAAGCAGAGGTATCTGTCTGGGCAGCACTGCCCCTCCCCCTCAGCCTGGCCTAGCTGTGGTTTCTGCTCCCCACTCAGGCCTCCCAGTCAGGCAAAACCAGGCAGGTCGGAGCCAGGACCTTGGCAGGCTGTGATGGGGCGTGTTCCTATGCTAAGGGCTCATTTCACACCTCTCCCACAGGGAGACCCCTTGCTTCATCCCTCTGGCTCAAAAAGTCAAGTCCTGAGATCTGAAAGGGGTCCTTCCAAGGCCACGGTCTAGACTGAGGTTCATGAGGTTGAGGAAGCTGCCTGGTTTTTGGCCTGAGTTCTTTGTCACACCAGTCCCAGAGAAGGCACTAACCTTTCTTTCCTGACCCCAACAACAACAAAAGAGAACTGCTTGAAATCAAACCACCACAGAGTGCAGAAAAAATGGCCTAAAGTGTAATATTCTGGCCACTTGCTCAGTGGAACCTGAGAAAGGCCAGCTGGGGTTTAGGTCAGGGTCTGGATGCTGGTAGGAGGTAGAGGCCTGGGGTCCAGGGGTCGCCTCTGCAGTGTGGCTCACTAGGACATGGTAAATGATGGGAGTGTCAGCCCCACTTCAACCTTCCCAAGAGAACAAGTTACGTAAAGCTCTGGATAAAGCTGAGAGGGCTTGGCCCGCTGCTATCGGCAAGTGTGGCTGCTTTCCAACCAGGTCCTGGCTGCCAAGGCCCCATCCAGGCCTTTGTTAGAATCTGAGCAAGTGGCAGAGCCAGACCCCCACCCCCACCCCGCTGGCCTCTCTCCCTCCCCCAGGCCGGTGCGCCCCAACAATAGTGCTGGCTGGTTCTGGGGGGGCCTCTTTGTCTCCTCAGGGCAGGGGGCTGGGAAGGGAGCTGGGTTGGCTGGGCGGGGAGGAGGGAGGGGGCACCAGGGCTAAGCCCTAACAGGAGTGAGGTAAGCAATACACCTAAACAAAACAGGGAGTGTCTTGGGCCTCTTCTGGGGGGCCTGAATCTTACAGGAAGCGGGGAGGTTCTCGGGAACTCCTGAGGCCCGAGAAGGGGTGACAGAAGAATCCCATGAGTGACAGCGGTGGGCCTGGGCAGAGGGAGTGGGGGACCACCCCGCGAGGCGTGTCGTGGCGTCCTAACTGGGCTGCGGGCTCACCTTAAAGTAACCGCCCTCGTAGTAGGTGTTGGGGGGCCCGAAGATGGCTACCTCCCAGTTGTACAGATCGCCCTCGTCCACCAGGGTCACCCGGAAGCCCTCCACTGGTTCCTCCTGCAGCCCCTTGAGCTCGAGCAACAGCGCCTTCTGCGAGCTGGGAACCAGCGGCCGGGCCATGGCGGCGGCGGCGGCGGCGGAGGGGCCTGGGATCGCGGGCGCGCTGGGTCGCGAGGCCGCCGAAGGGGCGCGGGCCGGGCCGGGCCGCGCACCGGCCTGGGGGGCGCCGCTGGGGCCGCCGCCGCCTTCCTCCTCCTCTACGCCGCCGCCGCCGCTGGCTGGAGTGCCTGAACGCTCCACTCGCTCTGGCGCCGCCGCCCGACCAGTGCTCCCTTCTGCCGGGTCCGCGCGCCCCGCCCCGCGCTGAGCCTACTCGCTACAGCCGGGCACCAACCGCGCCTGCGCGCCGCGGCCAGGCCCCACGACCGCACCTGCGCGCTCACCCGCGGGACACGCTGGGAAATGGAGTTCCCCCCTCCCTCGGGCCGCCGGGTGCGCGTCGAACGCGACAGCCGGGAGGGAGGGGGCCAAACGCCCAGGCGCCTTGGTGCTTCTGACCTCCAGGGAGGCCGTAACAGCAGCCCGCTGGGACTGGCACCCCGGACGCCTGTGTGCGGAGAGGCGGGCAAGACTGGGCTGCGCAGCCGCAGCCTGGACCGCCGGGCTTGTGCGTCTTTTTTGTGACGTCCGTGGGGCTGGGCGGGGCCGGGGCGGGAATTGGGAGCCGAGCCCGGGCAGGGTGGGGCAGGACCCCTCGGGGGCGGAATGTTGGGGTAGCGACCCGCCCTGATTCTGTTTCCTCATCAGTGGATGGACTGGCGGATTCCCTTACCAGTTCGCTGAGGGAGACCAGAAAGGGCACTGGGCCAATGGTGAGGTGGGAAGGCAGGTGGGAGCCCACGCTGGAGCCCGCACACCCAGTCCTAAACGGGTCGTGCCTCATTTTCCCGTCCGTGGGGCTGAGGCTAGGACCCAGCTCCCGGCAGGTGCGAAGGCCCCACTTAGGCAGTGTGTACGCAACGGAGGAGGCCTGAGCAGGGCTCTGGCCACTATTCGGATTGACAAACTGGAATCAGAAGAGATGGACAAGCCGCTGCTCTACCAGGAAACTGGTGAAGCAATCAGTGCACTCCCTGTTCAGTATTCATTCAGCATCCATCCTGGCTAAATCCCCAGACGATCCCTGACCCTGGCTGGACCCTAATATCAGGCTAACCTTTGACTCCACCCAAGTTCTGACCCAGGGCTTCACTCTGATCTGCCTGAGCTCTGACCTAGTTGAGTCCCCAGGTCCAGACACCCACACAGCACTTGCCAGAACACTTGATCAGGACAGTGAGGTGTGGTCCCCTGGTCTCAATCCCACCACCTCCACAGGGTGACAGCTCCCTGTGAGGGTGACCTGTTGTTGTGGCCCAGGCTTCTGGCTCTGCCTGTCCTGCTGGCAGGTGTTCTGGGTAGCCAACACCTGCAACACCTCAGGCTGGACTGAGGTGACTCCCTGCCTGCGATGCCCCAGCACCTGGTGCCTTGGCTGACAGGCAGATAAACCTGTCTGGGGAAAGGAAAATAACATGTCAACCGTGGGGTGGGACGGAGGAGTCAAGAGCCCTGGCACAGCAGCAGCTCAAATGGCTGCCCAGCGCTGAGCCTTGGCTTTCTCAGCTGTAAAGCTCTCGGCTTCATCTCTCAGGCCCTCTGCCCTGCACCCTGAGGACCTGGAGTGGGCCTTCTCATCTGTTAAATGGGCTGTTACCTTTGCTGCGTGGTCGGGGTGCTCTGACCCTCATTATTTGTCTATAAAACCAATGGCATAGCACTGGCATGTGGCAGCCCATCAATAAACAATATTTTTGTAGAGAGGTTTCCCAAGGTCTCTCCCTATGTATACCTCACATCCCTAGGGAATATCAGAAATGTAAAGGAAGGCACCAGGTTTTTGCTCCCCCCTCTCCTGGGACTGGTCCCACATGGGGCCTCGTCCCTCAGGAAAAGTATTCCTCAAGCTCTGAAACCTGAGATGGTAGATGTCTAGGGTTCCTGCCTGCCTGTTTTCTGGCCACAGCACCTGGTTTTCCTGTGGGGTTTCCCCATCTGTCAAGGGTAGTGACTTACCTTATAGAGCCATGATGAGAGTCAAATAGGACGTTGAAGGGCTTGAACATGTTAGCTATTTCTGTCATCACTGCCATTAGGATCTGCCAGTGACCTCTTCATCTCACAGCTGGTGACCCCTAGGCCCAGGGAGGAACTGCTTGGGTGGGGCACGTGTAGAAAGCAGGGCTGGGGACCAGGTCTCCGTCTTCCAGAGCAGTTTGCTGTGCAGGCCCACAGACCTGGGGCAGAGCCTCCTGGGTCCAGGGCACCTTACCAGATGCCCCTTTGGCCTCTGCTTCCATAAAGCTACATCCAGGGGCACATGGCATTTCCCAGTGGCAAATGTGGCCTCTGGGCAGTAGCGAGCCTGTTGGGGTTGGCTGTCGTGCATGGGAGTGGAGAGCATTTCTGCGGCACAGGGCTGGGGAGTGGGGAGCGCACACACACGTCAGGTCTGTCTGGGACACAGACTTTATTACTGCTGAGAGGAGGCTTTGCAGGTGTGTGGGGAGGGGTGTCCACTTCCAGGGGCACTTGGCCTCCCCTCTGAAGGGGGCTGGAGTGTCATTCCAGGTCTGAATCTGGGTGAGGGCTCCGCACACCACCCCTGCATGCAGTAACACCAGTCCTGGTTCCAGACCCATGTTCCTCTCAGGAGCAGATAAGCTAGGCCTGGAAGCATCCCCAGCTGTCTGGGTGGAGGAGACAGGTGAGGTGGGTGGGGAGGGGGGGTGCATTCAGCCCACTGGCTTGACCTTGGCAATGAAGAGGGCAGCAGCCTTCTCCAGAAACTCCTCCCGGGTCATAGGGGAGCTAGGCCGCTGAGCCACCAGGGCACGGTCCATGGCCAGTGCCAGGTTGTCAGGCCCCAGGAGTGAGCCAGCCTCCAGGTAGTGGGCAGGAGCAGTAGCACTGTTGCTGGCCTGCAGGGCCCCCTCCAGGGTATCCAGCACGGCCTGGCCCATGCGACGGTCAGCAACAGCCAGAGTTGGGTCCTCCAGCAGCTGGTAGAGGGCGCTGGCTCGTGCCACAAACTCTAGGAGCACAAAGCAGGTGAGCATGCCTGTGCGGAAGACATCCAGGGGTACGGCCTCGTGGTCCCGGCACTGGATCTTGCGCAGCAGGGGTGCCACAACCTCCTCTGGGGCTTCCCCATCTCGGCAGATGCGCTTGAGCAGCTCACTGTAGGTACGCCCATCCAGCCCTGGCTTCTTCTTGCGCCCACTGGCACTCAGGCACTCGTAGGCCACACCGACATTATTGTTGAAGGCTGTCCTGCAGGCAAACAGGGATGTTGGGCTAGCCCAGCAGAGCCCTCAGCCCCCATGCCCACCTGCCTAGCCCCAGTCTCCTGTCCCCCTAGCTCTTCCTCCCACAAGCCAGGCTGGGTCCAGCCTCGGGGCTTTCACTCAGGCTGTGACCTCCCCCTGGTGTACCCTTCCCCCAGCTCTCCCCATGGCTCCCTGAGTCACTTTTCTGGCAGTGCCCTCCCCTCCTTAACCCTTTCCTCCTTTTTTTTTTGCAGCAGTTACCACCATTAGATTCACTACATGGTGCGCTTATGAGTTTCTGTCTCTACCCTCCGAATGTCCAGGAGCCCACATCAGGGTGTATCTGTCGGTCACTGTACAGCCCCAGGGCCTGGCCCACAGCAGCTGCTATATAACTGTCTGCTGAATCAGCAGACGGGCACCTGCCCCACAGAACCCTCCAACCGCCTCCTGACGAAGATATTTACACTCACAAGGTGGTCACTCTTGGACAACACTGTGCCTGTCCACTTAACATGGGTTAGCTTACTTCATTCCCTCAGAGTCCCTCTGGCCAAGAATCAGCAAACTACAGCCATGGGTCAAATCCAACCCACTGCCTGTTTCTGTAAATAAAGTTTTATTGGCACACAGCTACATCAATCCACTGACATGTTTGTGGCAGCTTTCTTGGTGCAATAGCAGAGTCCAACAATCACAGCATATACTGGCCTGCAAGACTCATAGTACTTGCTACCTTTACAGAAGCCTGTCAAGCCTGCTGTCAGCTGTGACGTGGGGGCTATGAGGTGGGTATGGTTCCCCACCCCATGAGGAACCTGAGGTCCTCTCATGTGCCCTGGCCGTGCTGTGAACTTTCTGAGAATAGGGGAGCCCTGGTTAAGTGTGTGGGCTGCCGCATGAGCTTGGGTGGCTAGTCACCTCCCCTGGTGTCTCCCTCTCTTCATCGGATGGACAGCCCAGCACCAGGCCTGTGGCTCAGTGCTTAGGGGGGCTGGTGGTTTGTTACTAGTTCCACAGTCACGACTGGGAAGCCAAGTTCAGAGCAGGCTGAGGGGTCGGGTCAAGGATCCCAGGGGGTAAAGAGCTGAGCCCATGCCTCATCTCTACCCTTTCTGAGGTTCAGCTTCATGGTAAGGGAAGGCCACGCGTATCTCATGTGTGTCCTGGGCATGTCACTTCACCTTTCTGTGCGTCAGTGTGCAGTAGATGGCTAGTAAATATTGGCCAGTATGCAGTGGGAGCCCAGTAAATGGTGGGCAGTGTGCAGCAGGTGGCCATAACCTTAGACACTATGGTCATCTCTGCTACCTACTGCAAGGCCATGGACAGATGTGCTGACCCAGTGAGCTATGTGGGTTAAAGCACTGTTACAGAGGGAGCTGAGGCCCAGAGGTGACAGGGCAGTGTCCTGGGAGGTTGCTCTCCCAGCCAGCATCCAGTTTGCACCCATCTGGCTATGAGCTCTTTCTTCCCATCTTGGGACCTCTGTGGAGTGAGACCATCCAGGGAAGCATGGAGGGTGATGCCAGACGCAGCCTCATGCTCCAAACCATTTGTTCCGATGGCTACGACTGTTACCACATAACGGCCCTTTGTAGGAGCTTTTACTAACTCCTTTGCCCAGGAGAAGGAAGTCAGGGAGACCCAGTGTCACTGTGGTGGTTGTGAAGACCCGTGTCAGTTACCCATTGCTGCGTAACAACTTACCCCCAAACTCAGTGGCCTAAAATAGCAGTAATAGTTATTACATTGAGGTTTCTGTGTGACAGGAACTCAGGGGCAGCTTAGCAGGGGCTTCCAGTCTATTCTCTTGTGAGGCTGAGGTTAGGGTGTGAGCTGTGGCCGGGGTCCTCTGAAGGCCCGGTGGGGGCAGTGTTTCACGTGCTGGCCCGAATTGGAGGCCCGGGCTCCTGGCCTAGGGCATCCCCACACACATCTCTGTGGGATGGTTTAAGCACCTCCTCCCAGGGTGGCTGTTCCCCCCAGAGAGTGTGCTCCCAGGAAGAAGGCACTCTCTGTTACATCCACAACACCTAGTGTTAACAACAGGCTGGCCCTGTGGATGTGGAAGACAAGTGCATGCAAGTGTGAATACCAAGAGGTGAGAGCTTCAGGGACGACCTGAAGGTCTCCACTGTGCTGTCCAACTCTCTCCGCCCTGTGACTGAGCGGTGACTTACCTCAGCCCCTGAAAGGTGAGTGTGAGTGAAGTACGGGCCAGCCAAGCTTGATGGAAGTTTTCAGAGCCACTGTGTTCCCCACAGTCCACTCGCCATTGCCACAATGTGTAAGTTCACAGCAGCCCCATGGCGTGAGATAACACAACCTTTGTTGTGTTGAGGCCGCTGAGGTTTCAGGGGTGTTTGTTCTTTTGGTGGAACACAAAGATAGCCCATGACCCACCCGACTGTGGCCCCTGAAGCCTCTCTTCCAGGAACCTGGTCCGCTCACGAGGGGTGCTCGCTGGATCCCGTGTTCACTGAGCACCTTCTATGTGCATGCCTGTGCCCCGGCCCCCACTCGGACCTGTGCGAGAGCCCCAGCCACTGCCTCTCACCTTCCTCATCTGGAGAACAAGGGTTGTAATCTCTGTGCCTCAGGAGTCTCGTGAGGACAGAAGGGTAGATTTTGTGCCAAGTGCTCAAGACTGTGCTGGCACATGGGAGCGGCCCATGCATGCACACTATTCGCTATAACTTGGGCTGTGTTTCAACTGGGTTGTCTGGACAGTTTATCTTCGACTCACAAGGGGGTAACTACAGCCCAGCCTGTGAAATCAGAGCTGACAAGGATTGGGCAGGAAGCCAAGAGGAAAGCACTACCCAATCTCTAGGCCAAGGCCTCCTAACAGCCCCTCCTGGGTGCTCCCCTGGTGGTTCCCAGCCATCTGCTGAATCCCAGGGAGTGGGGGCAAGAAAGCAGCCTGCTTTGGACTTGGTGGCCTGGGCTCTATCTTGGCTCCACGGTGGGACTCTGGGCCTCAGTTCTTTGTCTGTGAATTGAGACTGAGCACTTCCTCCATTCCTGTCAGCAGTTTTTCAATGTGTGAACATTTGTTAAAACAAAGGAAGAACATGGGACGTCTCCAGAAAGAGTCACAGAGACTTTGTACTTTAGACCAGGGCCTTTCATCATGGGAGACTCTGCTCACAGGGCCCACTGGGTATTATCTAAGGACACCTGTAGTTGTCACACTGAGGGCATTCCAGGCACGGAGGGGATGTGGGCCACGGCTGATGCTCAGGACCCCACAGTGCCCAGGACAGCCCCCAGAGGGGATGTGAGCTGAGAAGCCTTGGCCTAGTCCTGCTGGTGCCTTTCCAGATCACAGGGACCTGCAGGGGATGGCACTCTTGCTGTTACTATTAGCAATGTGGTGGCTTAGAAGGAGGCCTTGGAGCCTCACTTGGAGCCTGGGTCTGACTCTGGCTCTGTCTTGTTGTGGCCGTGCAGCCCTCACACATCCAGATGACACCCAGGGTCTTAAGACCAGTGGGGCCGAGGAAGAGGGTGATGGAACGCAGCTGCAACTATTACCACTCCTGCAGGCCAGCAATTCTGACTTCTCGAGACACTGGCAGAAGGGGTTTAGGTTGACTTCTCCAAAAACCTTTCGTGATAGCATGCTCAAAAACAGCCCCCTGATGACCTGGTCAACCTTGCAGCATCAGGTGAAGCTACTCAACCTTGAAGCACCGGTCTCCCACACCTGGGACTTGCCTGGCCAGGTTTCTGCTCCTGACTTGTCAGGCATGGTTAAGGGCCTCTTGCCTTTACCATTCGCTTGTCTCTGGGGAGATGCACCTGCCACCAGCATTCACTTCGCCCTCCCAACTGCTTACAGCAACAGCCCCAATGTCCCTGCAGTGCAGTAGCTCGTGTCCCCACAAAATGCATGTCCATCTGGAATCTGTGAGTGTGACCTTATTTGGAAATAGAACCTTTGATGTGTAATTAGTTCAGGATCTGGAAATAGGATGAGGTGGCTCTAAATCCAATGCCATATGTTCTTAGAAGAGAAGGGAAAGGAGAGACGCAGAGGAGATGCCCCGTGATGACGATGAGGCAGAGGCTGGAGTGATGCTTCCACAAGCCTGGAGCCGCCCAGGAGCCGGAAAGGACAGGAAGAACCTTCCCTTAGAACCTCCACAGGGAGCTCAGCTTAGCCCTGCAGTTCCTTGATTTCATACTCCTGGCCTCCAGAACTGCAGGAGAGTATTTTTTCTGTTGTTTTCAGCCACTAAGTTTGTGGTAATTTGTTAGAGCAGCCACAAGAAACTAATTTAGTTTCCTGTTGACACTAAATTAGTGTCACTTCTCAGTCCTCATCCACTGGGCCATTGGACATTAGGCTGCCGCCAGCTCACAAGATGCCTTTGTATGAATTAGGGAAAAACTCTGTAAAAAGCCTTCATACAAATGTTCTTGTCTGTGAGGTCTACTGGGCAAGCGGCTTGTGCTTGACCTGAACAGTTGTGGCCCTGCCAATTACCCCTTTTCCTCCTTCGAATGTGTCCTAGGATACCACTGTCTTCTAGCTCCCTCCTTCACATCTGGCCTTTGCATGCTTTTTGGAGGGGGGGGGGTTCCGAGGCTGCAGCTACTAGAGCTGGGGCCTGGGCTCTTCTCAGGCCTTCATAACCCCTCCCCGCTGACCTCTTGTCCCAGTGGCACGTCTCAGTTGCAGACCTGCCTGTCCACTTTCTTGCTGCAAGATTCTCCCAGCTCCTGACTTAAAGTCCCCAAAGGACTCTGGGAACTTCCTCCAAACCAGTGCCCTTCCATCTAAGTAGGCAGCCCTATGGGCTCACCTGGGACTGTCCTGCACGCTCCTTTTCCATCTCGGCCCCAGCAGACCCGTCAGCTTGGCCTTCACAGCACGTCTTGAGCCCACGTATGTCCCACAAACCTGCTCCTCTTCCCAGGTCCCCATCTCAGAGGTGGCTCCAGCCTCTAGGCACTCCACTGCTCCCCTGTCTGGCTGTCATCTTGTTTCTTTCCTTCTGTGGTGGAGATGTGGCTCTTCTGCTTGGATGCCCGCTAGCCACACCCCTCCCACAGGTGTGCTCCATCCCCAGCACCTCAGTGCTTTCCTCCTTGTGGCCTGCACCTGTGACTCTCTAGGGACGTCTGTCCAAAAGCACCTGGGAGTACCCCAGGAATCAGATGGAAACATTCCCTTGTTTGGCTTCTGCCCCCTTCTGAGGCCTCATGGGAGCACCCCTTACAAAAATCACCCCTACATGAATGCTTGCCTTAGGCTCTGTTTCTGGGGATGCCCCTAGCCAAGACCCGGCCCATCCACATCCAGTCAGTGACTTCATATGGTTGATGTTGCTTCTCTCCAATCCACCTAGTGCAGACCGTGCATACAACACATATTCCTCATCCACCTTCCAAGGGCTCACAACTGTGAGGAAGGAAAGATGCCTGGGGAGTGGGCAGGCACCATCCCCTCCACCCCACCATGCTTCAGCTGTGAGAAAGCTGTGCACCCCAAAATGCACAAATGTACAGCCTCCAGGCCCATGCTCCTGAGGCACGACCTCTTTCTGTGCATCACAAGGGGCTCTTCCTGAACACCCCTCCTGCACACTGGGAACCTCCCCTCCAGGACAGGGGCTTTGAGCGCCTGGGCTGCTCTCTGTCTTCACAGCCCATACCTATAAAATATTCATTTTCTGGCAGAATGGACCGGGATGCTATAGTGTAACGAGCTAGCTAGAAGGGACCAAGCTCACAGGGCTTGCTCTGCGACATTGGGCTAAGTCCTCTCCGGGATCCATGATTTTCAAAAAGGCATCGCAAAAGACGAAGCCAGCAGCAGCTATGGACGCCAGCGCATGGCCCTCAAGCAAACCGCTAGGCAACGCTGGGGACCTCCGGGCAATCGCGGCCCGGCTCCATCGTGCGCCAGAGGCACTGGGGACTACAGTTCCCAGCATGACACGCGCTCAAGCGCCGGTCGGGGCAAGGAGACGCGCAGAGCACGCTGGGAATTGAAGTCCGGTTGGGGCCCCTACCCACCCAGGCCCGGCCCAGCCCCGCACCTCTGGGAGTGGTGAGCCAAGCGAAGGTGCCACAGCGCGCGGCCCAGGCGCTGCTGCTGCAGCAGAAGCTGGCCCGGGGGCTCTCCGGCGCCGCCGTTTGCAGGCGTATTCAGGCCCATGTTCTCGAAGTAGTGAGCAAGGAAGGAGATCGGCTCCTCGGGCCGTGCCTCTAGTACTTTCAGCAGGGCTGCGCGTAGCATCTTTGTCACGCCGACCTGCCGCAGGAAGTCTTCTTCGCTCTCGGTCGTTGCTGCTGCCCGGGACGTCGACGGCCGGCCGCTGTCTGTGAAACCGGCCGCGGGGGCCATAGCTGGCCGCCGCTTCTCCACTGCCGCCATCTTCGCTGAGGGCAGCAGGACCGGAAGCCCCGCCATGTTCCACAGCGCGTTGGCGCCTCCTGGCGGTCATCTTGGTTAAGGCAGAGGATCCCCGATCCCCTTCGGAGACGGGAGAATTACTAATAGAGGCCACTCTTTCCCATAGGTTCTAATTGACATTCTTCCTCCAGTGTTTTCTTTACGTATACTGCTTAGGCCCAGAACCTGAACTTTGCCAGGCTCCAACATGGCTGCTCTCAAGGAAGAGCTTGGTTTCTGGCATGAAGCTGGATTGATTGCCATCTTGGTAGTGGGCTAGTCCTTTCTTAGCGTGGTTCCCTAGCAACCAGTCTCCTCGGTTACCAGAGAAGCTGTGCTGCGAGGGAAAGGGAGATGGAGCTACTCAGATTGGAGGATTGATCGCTGCTCTGTCCCATTTTTCTGAGTTTCGTCTTTGAAACTTTGGGCCCAGCCTGGCCTTCACCAGGTGTTGCTCTGATCTCAGTTCTTGCTCTGAGTTTAGAGCTCATTTCGTGGGGACCCGCTCCAGTCACCCACCAGGCTGCGTTAGGGGTCTGTTCTGGCCTCCCATGGTCCCTAGGTCCCTGTGAGTGTTCCAGGAATTAGTAGGCCACTCCCGGCCTCAGGTTCCCTGTCCTAAGCTTTCCTCACCACTGGCGGGGTCTTTCTCACACTGCATCCTCGAGCGTTTTCAGCTCTTCCCAGAGCCCACAGGCTCGCTGATCTCATTTCTAGCCTGTTTCAGCTCTCTCTCCTCCTTAGCTCCCTTAATAAGCCGCCTCTCTTCTGTCTTTGCCCATAGTGCCCCACAAATACATTCGCTACTTCTTTTGATGACTCCTTAGTTATTCCTGAAGCTCCAGGGTCCCTGCATCCAGGGAAAGGCACAGCATTTGTATTCTCCCTCCCCAGGCAGAGCGCACGCCCCTCAACCCAGGGCCAGGGACCTGGGGTGTCTATCCATCCTGTCTCCCCAGGGAGTCACCCCTGGGCAGAGGAGTCTAGGCTCCTTGTACCACAACTGAAGCCACTGAGGTCAGACCAGATGCTCTTTATTCTCCGGCTGGCTCCCCAGGGGTCCCGCGAAGGTGAAACCCAGCCTAGTGGGGAGCTTGGATGTGCCGGTCATCAAGGTGAAGAACCCTTAGTCAGCTCTCATGCTTTCCAAAACCCTGCAAACATTCTCCAGTCACAACTGAGTTGAAGGAGAGGCAGGCCACTTCAGAGGCAGTGGTGAGCTGGTGGTTGGGTGGCCGGCTGGCAGCGTTTCCATAGGCGATAGGCAAGGAACACCAGGAACAGCAGCCCTAGCACCAAGCTGCCGACCCACAGGGCTTCGGATGTGTGTGAGGAGCCTGCAGAGAGAAGCAGCAGGAGCCTGAACACTCTTTGCAGGTTGTGGGGAGAAGCTCAGCGGAGCTTCCAAATTTACCAAGTTCCCTAGAATTTTACAAAGGTCTTAATGGTTTAGAACAGCCATTTTCAGCCTTCCTCATCTCACAGTGCACATAAACTAATTACTACAATTCTGCAACACACCAGAAGTATATATTTTTTGCCAATCTGAAAAATTGGTATAATTTTGATTAATTCACAGCAGATGATTATTGCTCTGTTGGCTGTTGTCGCTTTTAAATTTGACAATCTAAGGGAAAAAAGGTCGGGACCCCTGACTAAATAGGTATTGCATGTTTTAAAAATTCTTGCAGTATACTGGTTGAAAATGTCTGGTTTAGAATGTCTTTTGAAATGTACAAAAACAACTGGAATATCCAAAGGACTTTGGAGTCAATCTTTTGAAAGGGATGTGGGACCTTATTTTTAGTTAGATGTGGGCTGTTCAGGGAGGCGGCCACTTGGCCGTCTGTGCTTGACACATGGCTCATCTCGGTGGAGAAGTGCTTACGTCAGTGTAAAATACACATCACAGACACATGCAATATATCATTCATACCATCTTAAAGATTACATGTCGAAATGATGATATTTAAGATATACTGGGTTCAATAAAATGTCTTATCTAACTTATTTTTACTTTTTCCCCCTGAATGTGGCTACTAGAAAATCTGAAATGACATAAGTGACTGTATTTCATTTTTACCCCACAGGCTGTTGTAGCCTGTAAGGTTCAGAGTTTATAAACTGCTGTGAAATTGACATAGTCCCTGAAATTGATGGTGATTGCCGTGCCAGGCAACTGTAATCTTATCGTTTCAGGGAAGCCTCCTGGATACTATAAGATTCTGAGGCTGGAAACCGAGGCTGGGCAGGGGTATCTCTTTGTCTATGGTCTTTGTGCAAGGCTTCCTCCCTCCTAGCCTCCCCTGGTGCCCTCCCTAGCCCCCCAAACTCACAGATTTCTGGAAACAGGTACAGACTGGCCATTTGGCCCCCTGGGTCCAGGCGACACTGGAACCAGCCCTCGGGGTGGCATCCAGCCCACAGCACTCTCAGCCAAGCCTGGGCCCCGGCTTCCCACCTCTTATAAGCTGCCAGATCGCCGGGTGCCTGGGTCCAATGCACAGCTGTGCTGGGGCCACAGGCTGCTTCACACAGCAGCTCTAGACCCCCTGATGTTGGTGACTGGTGGATCTCAGGGCGGCAAGGCCTAGTGGAGCTGTTCCCAGGCTTGGGGCCAGGACTCCAGGAGCTGCGGGTAGAGTCCTGCTCCAGGGTCGCCTCCCGGGAGGTTGTGATGGGGGGCTCCTGGGAGGTCAGGATGTGCAGAACTGGAAAAGAGGGCAGCCATTTCTCTCCCTGCTGCCTCAGCCCCCTTTCTTGCCTGTCTAGCTGGACCACAGAGTTGGCCCAGTACTGCTCCAAGCCCTGACCTGGGCCACTTGCATGAAGTGCAGTGTATCCCAGGTTGGTCTGTTGTGCTCTGCCCCACCACCCACCCCCTTCCGAGGGAACTTCTGAATTTCCTTGTCTCACTTTTCTCAGCCGTAAAGGAGGTGAGAGCCCTCACCTAGGCCCACACATGCACCCAGGGTCAGTGAGTGCTGGGTTTCATTATTATGGGACTGGGAGGTGCAGAGAGGGGAGGATGCATCTTACACAAGTTGAGTACCTACTGTGCGCCATAGGCTCATGTTAAATATTATCATTTGGCAATTATTTATTGTCACCTGCTATGTGCTGGGCACCATGATAAGTTACTCATTTATTTAGAGTGTATCTACTCAACACTGACCATGCCCTGGCACTGGCTTAACCACTGGGAGGACAGCCGTGAGCAAGATGCACATTCCCATCTTGGTGAAGCCAAAAGTAGGGGAGACAGTTAATGAAAAAAAGATAAAGAGGACATGCAGGATGTCAGATGTTGATAAAAGGTGTCAAGAAACACTCAACAGGAGAGAAAGAGCTCGTGTGTGCCTGTGTGAGGGTTGGGGGAGGTCAGGGGAGCCTCACTGGGCAGGTGACCTGAGGAAGGTGAGTGAGGGAGTCATAGATAGAGCTGGGGAGAGAGCATTCCCAGTGGAGGGCATAGCACATACAAAGGCCCTGAGGCTGGATGGGGCCTATTAGAAGAACAAGGAGGAGGCCTGTGTGCCTGGACCAGAGTAAGTGAGGGGCAAGGTGGGAGGGAGGAAGTAAGGGCAGGAATGTGACCCTATATGTTGTTCAGGGCCTTGGGGGGTCCCTGGGAGGACTTGGGTTTTTTGGGGGGTGGAGGTGGGAGTCCTGGAAAGCTGTGAACAGAAGAGGGGCGGGCCCTGACTCAGATGCTCACAGGCGCCCTCTGGTGGTTGCTGTGCAGAGGACAGACAGGAAGGGTGAGGGTGGGAGCCAGGGACCAAGGGGGAGGGAAGAGCTGGTAGGTACCCATGGGACCTGGCACAAGTAAAGTGCTCAGTAAATCTGTTGACTAAACAAACGATTGAGAAGTATCACTCTGGCTGCCACCAGAGGGCAGACTACAGATGGAATGCAATTTTCCCACCTGCCAGTAGATGCACTGAGCAGATGAGGGGCAGAACCAGGATTCCAGGGGAGCTGCTAAACCTCCATCACCAAGGCTCACAGGAGCTGGGTGGCATGACTTCTCCCACTTCCGGGGGGACACTAAGGTGCATGGCAGTGAGGACCCTGCAGACTCACCTGGAATGGGCTGGTGGTGGCTCTGCTCCAAGCCGGGCAGCCTCATGGTGGCCTGGCAGTGGAGAGCGGGTGGGGCAGGTGTCCACAGTGGGGGCAGCCGCCAGCGCACCGTCACTCGGAACAGCGAGTCCTCGCCCTCCTCGGGCTCCTCCTCCACTTCCCGGCCCAGGGCTTGCACCCCCTTCAGTTCCTGGTCTCCCAGGAGCAGGGACAAGGAGAGGGCTTCGGGGTTGGTGATGTTGTGGGCCGTGCAGGCCAACTCCTGGTGCCGCCCCGTCACCAGGGCCACTGGGAAAACCGTCAGCTGGTTCGGGAAGGCTGTGTAAGGAGGGGTGGAGGAGGGTGGGCTGAAGGGAGAGGATCAAGGCTGGGCCCTGAGGAGGGGGTTTGGGGGTGAGGCCAAGTGAAGAGTGGGGAGTGCTGGTGCACAGGGCCAGGGAAGACCCAGTGGGCGTATCCTGTGTGGCTAGAATATAAGGTGCTGAAAAGGGGTCAAAAGCAGGGGGGGCAGGGGCATCAGATATGGGAGGTTTGGGGGTGGAATGGGGGAGGGAGTGAAGCCTGAGAAGCCTAGAGATGGGGAACGTCGAGAGGATGGGATGGATTGGAGTGACTCAGGAACTTCAAAGCAGGCTTTGGGCTGAGGTAGGGCAGGCAATCTGGGAGGGCTCCCAGGAAGAGGTGGAATAGGGATAGAGCCAAAGCAGGGCTGCTGGGTGGGCCCGGCTTGTGCAAAGGTGGGAAGAGGAGGGGTGGGGGCTTACCGAACACCAGGAGTTGCACGGTCTTCTGGAAGGTGCTGTTCCCGCAGGAACCCACACACACGCGGGTCCCCGCAGCAGAGAACGAGGCGTTGTGCACGGATAAGACGCTGCTGTTGGGGCCCGACTGTACTGCACCCAGGCTGGTGTCCAGGCCCCGCCACTGCACCGAGGAGGCCCTTGCGGCACAGGTCAGGCGACAGGTGAATTGCATCGATTCCCCCAGGGCCAGCGCCACCACTGGCTGGCGGGGCTCCACCTCCAGGGCCCCACCTGAGGGCAGACGGCACTTAGCCCCGCCCGCCCCCTTCCCAACCCTGGCCCTCAGCCTCAGACCCCTGCCTTGAGCTCCCTCTCGGCCAGAACCCCCAAACCATTCAGCCCCATCTCCTCCACAGGGCGCCCCTGTGTGAGGCCCATTACCCTCCCTGAACCTCTCCCACCTCCCCTCGCTGAACCCCCTCCACATCCGACCCTTCTCTTTCCTAAGCCCCCTACTCTCTCAGAACACCCTTTTAAATCTAAGCCCCCTCCTCTTCCGAACCCCTCCACATTGGCTCCCTCCTTTTACCCTGCTCACTGCGGCCTTGCTGGAGGAGCCCCATGAAAAAAGGAAGCAGCAAGGCTAGGACCTGTTCCATGCTGGGTCCCCTGCTCTGTCCACGGCCCTGCAGGGAAGTGGTTTAAATAGTGGTGCCTCTAGCTCCTTCCCGCCGCCGCCAGGACCCCGTTCTCCGCCCCCTCCTCCCCCTGTTCCTCGGGGGTTTCCCGGGGGGATTTCCCGCCCTGACCCCCGACCCTGGAGGCGACAGAGAGGCAGGGACTGGGGGCCAGAGACGAGAGGGCGGGGCCGAGGTCACAGCAGATGGAGCGGGAATGTCTAGATAGATTCCGATCTAACTTTCAGAGACGGGAAGATCAGAACTTGGGGCCAGAGAGGAGGGACTGTCAGGTCAACTGAATGGAAAACCAGAGAGTCCCCGCCACCCGCGTGCGAGCTAGGTCAGCCGAACCTCTCAGCCTTCACGGCCCTGAGCACAGGCGCCAGTTGGAGGAGAGCAGCCGCCTGCTGGGTCCATCCTGTGCGGTGCTGTGGGACCTCCTGGAGGGCGATGGTCTCTGGCGTTGGAACCTCCTGGGGCAGAGGGTCTTTCGGAGGTGGTGGAGTCTCCGGGGTGATGGAGCTGAGTCCCACCCTTGCCTGGGACACATCAGGACCTACCCCTGAGCATGTCTTCCCTCAGTCAAAGGGGCAGGCTGGTGGAAGCCTAGGGGGCCTGCCTCGGGGGTGCCTCTGCACTCTGGTCCCGAGATATCGGGGTCGGGGGTGTTCAGGAGAGGCCTGGGAAGGGAGCCTGGCCAGACTCCCCACCGCAGCGGTAGTCGGCCCATCCTGAACACCTCACCTTCCCAACACCCGAATCCATCCTGTGCTCGGTGCCCCCAGCCTGGTCCTGTTTCACTGTCTGTCCTTCCCAGCCACTCACCACTGAGTGGCACCCAGAGCGGTTTCAGAAACACCCTTCTAAACACACAGACATCCCAAGGCTGCCTGTGGCATAAAGGAAAAACCCCAGCTCCTTGCTGGCCAGAGCCCTTCAGCATCCGGCAGCCTCAGGACCTTTGCATGGCTGTGTCCTCACCCTGTTCTATGTCCAAATGTTGTCTCCTCAGAGCCCTCCCCAGCCACCTTCTCACGGCCCCTGCCTCTCTTTCACTCAACCCAGGTGCTTTTTCTGCACAGACTTAACGAGGCTGTGTGGCCGAAGTCATAACTTCCCTGTACTGGGGCGGACCTTGTCTGCCGTGGCTCTCACTGATCCCAGACCCCAGATTGTGTCTGTCTTGGCCTGAGCTGACCACAGCAGGCATGCAGGAAGGAAAGAAATGAAGTATCCCATGTGCCCAGCCTCAGAGTGTGGCCTGTGCGTGTTTCCCTCCGGCAGCCACGAGATGGGGTTTCTAAGCTCCACTGCCCTGCCTGTCTGTCTCCTCAGACTCTTGCCAGAGGCGGAAACTGAGGCCCAAGAGGAGCGGAAGGGGTGCACTGAGACTCAGAGGGGCTGGAAGCATAAAAAGGAAACTGAGGCCTCAAGAGGTGAAAGTCCATGTGTGTGTGAACCCAAAGTCCATCTTCCTTAGTCCCAACCCCCCACCCCTGGTGCCAGGAAAGGCCCCGCAGGAAGGTAGACTCCAAGCTTCAGTCCTCCCCGGCCCGGAGGTGTGGGCCCTTCTCGGGAAGCTGGGCCCTTAACCCGGGCTGGGAGCAGCTGGTCTGGTGAATGGGCCTCTTCCCAGCCCCTGACCCCACTTCCTGCTGCCCTGGCAGCCGAGGTCCCTTGCAGGGTGTAACTGAACTCTCTGGCCTTGCCTCCCCCCCTCCACCCCCCGACCCATTCCGAGCTCCCAGATCTGAGTTCTCTCTGTAGGAGTAGCGGAGGAGGCTTCACATTCAGACTCACATCACTGGGGTGGGTGGGCAGTTGCCGCCGCCACCTTGAGGACAGGTGGGCTGAACAGATGAAGATTCTGGGGAGAGGTGAAGCCTGGGGTTGCGGAGAGGAAGGGGGTGGAGAAAGAGATGGAGAGGAGGGAAGAGGGGGAGGAAAGGGGTGGGGTAGGAGCCTGGAGAGTCTAGCCTGACCCCAGGCACATCTTTTGAGGGGTGAGGGAAGGACCCCTGGGAGCCTGGTGCCAGCAGTATCTGGGGGCTGAACCAGTTTCATGACTGTGCCTGGGGATGTGCTCCTGTCCCTGGAAGACTGACTCCGTGGAGGCTGCCTGGTTTGGGGCTAAGGTCCTTGCTCTACTACTCCCTGGCCCACCCCCCATTCCCAGCCTGGGCTTCCCGAAGAGCCTGCCCTCAGATCCCCCCCTTCCCGGCACTGTCCCCACCCTAGAGGAAGTCCTTGGCGGCCTTGGCAGGAAGCCTTCTTCCCACAGAGGGTCCCAGCCCTCCTCCCCCTGCCACCATTCAAGACCCAATATCCTGCCCTCCCCATCTACTGCAGGAGACTCGGGCCAAGGAGGGTGTCCAGGAGAGAGCGTCCTGGAGATGTCTGTTCTATCCAGGGACACCCTTCCTACTTGTCCGGGCAAGTTCCCCTCGCTGGCACCACTGGTCAAGTGGAGGTCTTGAGGCTCTTTCCTTGGGGTGGGCTGCAGCTGTGGGAGCAGGGCTGGGTCATTTGGGACCCCTGTTGGGTCCTCTACTCAGCTCTGCTGCTGGAGGACCCCAGAATGGAAATGTGAGCCCAAGTCGTGCCCCCTATTGCAACTCCCTGCTTCGGTGGGTCTCTGGGACGGTGGAATCCTGGGCAGGTCTGTTTAATAAATAACCACACAGAAAGCTCTAGAATGGGAAGGGCTGTTCCAGTCCACAAGACCTTCCATCTCCTGCTGGCCCTTGAGCTAAACCCAGGGGGTATGGCAGGAGCGGTGACACCCAGGGTACCAGGCTGGGGAGCCAGGACCCCGAATAAATAGCATGGCATGTCTGTGAAGACAACATTGCTTGATGAATCTGTCTGTGAAGCTGAACCGAAGTTTAGCAAAACAGGGTCTGCATGGTGGCCGGCCCCTCAGGCTCTCTGGGGGCCTGAGACATAAATCATGGGCAGTGTCAAGGGAAGTGGAGGCTTTGCGTGGTGATGTCTGCATTCAGACTGGATGGAAAGGCCAGGAAGCGAGGCCGGATCTGCCAGGGGACTGCAGCTGGTCCGCTACTCTGGGCGGTGGGGTCAGGCAAGCAACACCAAGTGAGATAGGAAGATGAGGGTGGGGGCCTTTGAGGGTGCTCAGGCTCCTCACCTGTCCCACAGGGCAGAGAGGCACACCTTATGAGAGTGGATTTGGGGGTGCTGGTTCCCCCACTCTGAAGCAGGGGGACCTGGGCAGGACGTGGTGGGGCTGGGGCCTCTAGAAGCTCTACTCCAATCTCAGGCCCTGTGGCTACCTCAAGACATGCTGTCCTTCAGCAGCAGCTCCTTGATTATGGGGCCCTGGCTGGGGAACTGGGGGGTGGCGCAGGGGCCCACCCCTGAGCTTCCTGCGTGTGTCGGGCCCCAGGGCCAGGTGATCGTGCTGGGAGATGCAAGGACACTGGGGCTCTGGGAGCAGGTACAGAAATGGAAGGATGGCCTGAGAGCAGTCTATTTCAGAGAGAGCGGGTGGTGGCGATGAATTCAAATAGAAGGATTTGGCATGGGTACCACTAGAGCTAGCTTTGGTCTTGCTGTGTACAATTCCCTGCCCCAGAGCAGGTGGCTGCAGCCTGATCGACCCCACCCAGCAGAGACATGCCAGGGTCATATAACAAATTCAGGTCAGGGCAGAGCCCCCAGCCACTCTTGGGTACTGACCACCTGAAATGTAACTTTTAATTGAAATTTCAACTTAAAAGTACACACAACTCAGTTACCGGAAAACTTCAGGCAGGGAAACACAGTCCTCAATGGAAACTGAAAGTGCCTTCCCTGGAGACAGTGGTAAAGCTGCCCTACATAAACAAGAGTTCCAGCTCCATACCTGAGTGGTTCTCATGTAAATGAGGATTCAAAATCTTCGGTTTGATTGGTCAAAAAGACACTATGGAGTAGTTGAAATGGAATACTTCCATTGGTCAATAAAGATGCAAATGAAGATACAGCTACACAGCTCCAGTTGGATGTGGGACAGCTCAGTCCCATTGGTCAAATTTCAATCCTAGGAGTTCTCTTGTAAGTGCTGACTCGATGGGCAAGGAGCACAGTGTAGGAGGCTGAGGGCCCAATCTGTGGCTTTTCTCTGATATGCAGCTTAGGTGAGAGGCCTCCGGAAACAATGGCTGCTAGACTTTGGTTATGAAATTGAGCCTAGTAAACCACAAGGAGTTCTTCCTGGCAGTATACTCTTCTCAGGGTCAACATGGGTTAAAATACATTTTATTTTATATTTTGTAAAACTCATTTTACTTCATTTACGCCACCCATTTCACTGTGTTTTTCAATGAGGTTGCTGGAGAATTTAAGTGAGCCATGCAGCTCAAATTCCATTTCTGGCGGGCAGGGGGCTCTAGCCCCAACCTGGGTCTGTTGCCTGTCTGAAGCACAGATTAGAAACATTCTTTGGTTACAAGGGGAGGTCCCCTCTCCACCACACCTCAAGTCGAGACCTGGGAACCCCTACTGTTTTAAGAGATTGGGACAGTGGTTCTCACCTGGGGGTAATTCTGCCTACACCACCCCTACCCTCACGGAAGACACTGGGTGATGTCTGGAGACGGGTGGTTGTCACCATTGGAGGTGCTCCTGGCATCAGGTGAATGGAGGCCAAAGGTGCTGTTCGACACCCACAGTGCCTTGGGAAGAGTGTCAGCAGTGCTGGGAATGTCAGAGTTTGGGAAACTCTGGGTGGAAGAGGCAGCTGCTGGGGGACTTGGGAGAATCCCATGCTCCTAGCTGTAGAGGAGAAGCTGTTGGAGTCAAGGTCAACGCCCAGACCAGAACCCCTCAGGGAAGTTTTTTGCCCAAGGAGCTTCACCCAGCCAGGCTCGGCGTCGGCACCTGCAACATGCGCGGCGCCAGGGGGCTTGGGCGGGATGGGAGCCCGGCAGCCTGGTCTGGATGATGAGGTGGGGCCAGTTTCAGAGAAGGGTCAAGGTGGAGTTGAGGGTGGATGTGCAGGGAGGGTGGGGAACTGGGG